ACTAACGAAAGGGGGGAAAAGAGAAACGGGCGGATAAACTCCGCTAAAGCACAAGTATCAATAGGTGTAATAAAACCGTGCGAGAAGATACATGGCGTTCCACTTCGGCGGCACCATTTTTTGCCCGACGTTATTTCGATCGATGTCGTTTCCTAGTTGAGAAGGAAGCCCCGCTTGTGTATCATTCATTAGCATTGTCGGAAAATGAGGCGGTAGAGAAGTGGATCGCCCGGTACACAGCAAGCCTACAACGCGCGTGGAGTAACGTGCATTCTCTTTGCATCGCGTGCAATAATAAGATTTCAATAATCCTAGCACTTAATTATACATTAAAAAATAAGATGAAGATAGAAACACATTACATATTTTGAATAACGCTATCGTACTAGACGTGGAATGAATCTCTGCTATGATTGAGCAACTGGACATTCTGCAACACGGTGTCTCTCTCGGCACCGTGTTTCGTGCGCGTGCACAGGACTTCAATATTAACGTTCGACAGCGGCAGTTAACGGATGGACGTTTGATTTCTGCTAATGAAAAAGAATGCTTGATGTAGAGTAGCAGTCGATTTTGATGAATACGTTGTTCCTGTACATCCGTTATACTTTTTCTCCCGTTGCTTTAATTAACTGCATTCGATCGTTTACCAGAGAGAAAACGCAATACTTAGTTTTTCCTGAGATATTTGTTGAACATAATTTGTATATAATTTGTAAAATTATTATACTATAATAATTTGAGCGTTCCTCTTCTTTCTGTCAGTGAGAAACGTAATGGGTTCAATTAAAATTATTAAATCCACTCAGAGCATAATGGCACACATATAAGTTTCAAGTCATCTGTAAGGTGACAAGATACTTTAATGCACGCAGGTTGTATAAAAATTGGTTGTGCGTTGTTACATTGAGGCTTTGGATTCGCTTCTCCTTTCAACTCCATTCTTGAATACGCATATATATGAGTATGTGTATAAACGAATGGTGATTTAAGAGTAAGCGGATCGACATTTAGCTTCGTACTATGCACTCTGTGTTGTGAATGGTATAATAGATATATATATATATATATACATATAAGAAAATAATACAATAATAATTATAATGACATGAAAATACGTGTATATGTATACACATAAATATATATACATATATAATATATTTATATAACCGAGACATCATGCTATTTTAGGCATAAGTAAAGACAATTTTTTATATACATTACGATTATGCTGAAACCTGATGATAATATTTATCTAATATATACGTCGAGACAAGGCGATGACTCTACATTATAACGCGATTACTACGTCTTGCTTTGCTAATCGAAGAATATCGCTCACGAAAGTTACTTATGTAGTGATGCATCCCTCCCTAATTTACCACAGAAGAGTCGTATTTTTGCCCGGGACATCAGAAATACGAATCGCTAAGAACAGTATAGCGTTAAACCAAAAATTATGATAGTATCGATTTTTAATATGATTATATCAATTTGAGTTTTAATAATTTATATATAACATAATAATTATGATTTATGAATATAATTAGAGAATTATCATTCTCTGTAATTATACAGGATGTTCTATTTTAATCTTTCCACGCATTTATCTCCCGAACTAATTCGTTTTTCGAAAAAATTCAAATAAAACTTACTCCGTGTTCGAAGGGGACATTTTATTTTATTGTTAGACACAGGTCTTGTCTAAGTGAAGATGCCTCCAAGATTTCCAAGGTGATACAGTACACCCTGTATAATTGAGTATTATTAATTTAATTCTTTTGCGATTTGCAAGGCGCGCGTGGAGTTATTTGATTCTTCAACTAATACGACTCTTCATTTTCAATTAGAAATTTTAGACATAACTCTTTGCTTTTTACCAAAATGTAATATTAAACATACCTAATGCCTACAGCAAAAATTACTAAAGAAAGCCGTTTCATCTCATAGAGACGAAACGGTGCAGTAGTTTAATCCAACAAAAATTATTCTTATAACGACTACTAAGCTATTAAGATTGCGATAACTTTCAAGAAGCATCGCGTGCGTCATGGAATTTCTGCCATTGTACTGTGTGGAGGGAATAGCATATCTACACGCATACGAAACGTATGTCCGTGCGATGGAGATTATTTTTCTTATGTAGAAAACGCGTCCGCTGCAATCCTATCACTATTTTAAGCGAGAAATGGCATTCTCTTAAGAATGATGAATTGACATACACCAACCGCGCTTTATATATATTTACATAGCAATATATATATTTTCTATTCCTTTCTACAGTTAGGATCGTATAAGAAAATCGCCGATAATAGATGGACGCGGGCAAAAGTGAATTAGGAATCGTAATGTGGAGGGAAATATTTGATGATGTAATGAGATTATGTGATCGCGAGTATAAGTGTATACCTACAGTAATAATGGCAGATATTTTATATTCATATCATAAGACACAGTAATAATCTATGTGCTATCGTAGTAATCCTTGTAAACGCAATTTTCAATACATTTGTAATTTTTAAGGTGAGGCAATCGAGAGAAGACAATCCTGATAGTGATTTCTTACGAACAACTTTCAGACTTTTATGTTATTGTCAATTCTTTTGTAGTATCTTTGAGATTCTGTATATCGTTAAACTTATTTTTAATACATTTTTTAGTATCATGTAAGACTGAAAACCGAGTCTTCTTTCTTCTGCCTAAAAAGTTCTAAAAAATTTTCTAGCACTGGAAAGAAATTAATTTTGGATTTCTTTCCAGATTATTTTTTTCTGCAATGTAATTTCTTTCATCGATGCCTTATCTTAAATCTTTGTCTGTTTAATTAACTCTGCTGCATCAACGCTCTCACTCTCTTCCGCGAATAGGTCTCCTCGCTTCTCTGAGATTAATTTTTATCCGTTCGCCTGCGCACTATTATTTATACAACAGCTTATGTAACAGCACCGCCGCGTTAGATGTGCGTGCAATTAATCGTTCTCCTATTGATATACCTTGCATAATTATCCCCGATATACCTCGATGATTAGCGCACTTTTCGATGAAACGTATATATTAAGCGAAGCACAATGCCAATAGAATAGTATGTTTAATGGTTGCTAGTGCCACCATGTATCGTCCCCAACATACATATTTGCCTGCCTAATTACATCCCGATGTGCGATGAACATACGTGTGTGGTTTCTATATGAGAAAAAAAAAGAGGAAACAAAAATACGCTACGGCTTCTTCCATGATATGACAGAATGTATCGATGGTTTCATAGTAGATAATAATTAATGTCGGATACCGGGTGTTTTCCCTCCCTTACTGTGTAACTAGCACTTTCTTTGTTTCCCCTCATGAAATTACACTTGCCGCATATCGCTGGCGCGGTACCGTTCGTTTAAACCCCTTTAAATATTGTGGCGACAGCAGCAAAGAAAGAAACGTATTACAGTAGATATTATCGCAAATTATTTATATGTCGCGAATGCATAATTCGACTCGATTATCAATAATTTATTATGATTAGTATTCAAACAAATTCGGGATCGGATTCTAGGTCACATTCCGAGACGTAGGGAAGAATCGTAGTTATAATTATCTGTAATAATAGTAATTAGTTCTGATTAATTCTAAGAATTGATAATTGTAAATCTTTTCAAAATGCAATTACTTTTTGTAACGAATTATAATTTCAAAATTGTATATTTAACCATTTATAATTAATTAGAACTTTAACTAGTCAGACAGTTAAATTTTAAGTTATAATCACTTGATTTTCTGTTTTACATTTTTTTGAAAATCTTAGATTTAATACTTTTTTTTTTAGATTTGTGATGTTAGATGGTGAAAAAAAGTCCGATCCTGAATATGTCCCAGTGTATTCTTTTATAGCATTTAGATGATGTCTTGTAGAATTTTATTTTAGTACGGCGCTGTGAGATGAAGAGTAGGGGCCATGAATGACCAAAAAGAATAGTTTAGCTTTAACAAGTATACCTCTGTTATTAATGCTGTTGTTTTTGTTTGCTAGATATTTTATTGTTTTTCTTGCGTATATACTCTGTTGCGTTTACGTATACTTATTGTTATGTTCTTTTCGAATTCAATCTATATTGCGTATTATCTTACTGTCAAAATAATCTCAACAACAGTACACGTGCGTTTAGCGATAAGTTGTTATTTGTTGTTTATTGGTGCAAAAATGTTTTTTATGCAACGTCAAGAATTAGAAAATCATGCTATTCGATATGTCTTTCAATAGTTTTATAAAACGCGTCTCAGAGATAAAAAAAAAAGAAGATAATAATTTTGTTACTTTCACTTTATTAACAATAAGAGCGACGTTTTTGAGATTGTTTTTCTTGCGTATACGCTTTAATCTTTAACTAGAAGGCGATGGCAATGAATACATTCCACCAAGTACAAAGACACCCGTGCAATCTTTGATTAAATGGAAATTTATGCGGGAAACTAACGGTATATTTACTGAATTAGATATTGCTTTTTTTGTAAGATGAAAGTAATGGTTGTGCTTGAGTGCAAATACTGCAAATACCGTCAATGTCTAGGCTGTTACCGACAGATAACATCCGTTATAGTCGCGCACGGCTCGTGCGAGCCGAGGAGAGCATTAACACTAGGCACATATCAGCGAGATGTAATGAAGATTATCATAATTAGCAACGCTCTGTATCTTTATATCGATACCGTTTGCGACCATTAATGTAATACGATGTATGTAATATCCGAATGTCAAGTTTCTTTTGTTAAAGCGAAATTAAACATTGAATTTCCTACGAAACGAGTCTCGTTTTTTTTTTTTTCACTTCTAACCGCTAGAGTAGCGATTACGTTGCTTCGCGCTAATGCCTCGTACAATCATGTACTCGTCGCTTCCGCCGTACATCCGTATGATAACATTTTCTAGTGATTGTAACCGATAGTGTTAGTCCACGGTCATCAGGATGGTTGTCACAATGGTTGTCTCAGTCTGTAATAGTTCTATATATAAATTATCAGTTAAGGAAACTTCCAGATTTATTTACAGAATTTATTACAAATATTGATACAATAAATGTAACTGTCATTGACAACAGTAAGTAGTCTTTATTTTGCATGCCAAGGTGGGACTGACTTCAAAATGCATTTGATCTGAGGTATTCCAATTTCCCCTCAACTTTGCTTGGAAGAAACATCGAACCTTCGATGCCAACCTCTCGCATCAAAGATCCAAGTCGGTTCTCTTTGATGTTCAGTGAAACATTGTTCACTGACTTACGCCACGAGTAGCAAGACTTTCTCGATTCTGGCACAGAGTTTTTGCATTTCACTGGGTACCGTGTACTCCGACGCCAGAATAGCGTTCGCCACGGCTATCGTCTCTTTAACTGACTGCGCCTTGATCCATATCCTGCCGTTCATCCCGGCGGCGATTTCGTACGCCTGATTCCGACCGAGCAGCCGGAACAACGGGCACTCCGGATTCAGCAATTTCCTCACGAGGCTCAGCGAGCAGGTGAACATCATGCCGTCCGAGCTTAGCACGCCGAGCTCGTTCTCCTTGCCCTGGGAGTCCACGCACACCAATTCCGGCTCCATGTCCTTGCTGGCGACCAGTAGCTTGGCGTACACCACATCGCCGATCTGCACGTCGGGCCGGTTCTTCTTCGTGGCGCCTTCGAAGGCCAAGTAGGATAGCGTTGCCTGTTCGCTGGCTCCGATGTCCACCTTGAAAATGTCACCGCTCTTCTGCGTCACTATACCGACCACGTTCTCGCCTCGATTAGGAATGTATCTGCGCGTGAGGTAAAATAATATTATTAAAATATTATGCTCGTTTTATGCAAAGCAACATGAGAGAATAATGGGCCAATGATACGAGCTAAATACAAGATATTATATTAATGCAAAGTTCTATTCGTAAATAGAATGGATATAAAGTAAACGATTTTTCATGATTAGTTGTTAAACTCATTCTTGTAAACTTCAATTTAGTAGAGGAAGACTTAGTAAAGTCGAAATGTTTCCATTTTTTATATCCATTTTATTTATGAATAAAACTTTGCAGTAATATAATATCTTGTATTTAGCTTGCATCGTTGGTCGATTATTCTCTCATAAAACAATATTTCAAGATAAGATCAACTGTGATCAGCGTCTCAAAAGGGTAAATTAAATTAATCAAAGTTTGGTCGAAGTTGTCTCATTTTTGCTGGAAGCAAAATAAAATTACATGAGTATTCAATGCGGAATGATAAAGAGAGCGCATATTCCTTATAAATCTACATTAATGAATGCCAAGCGTGGTGCACGTAAGGAGATGCTTCTCTTCTTCCTTTTAACATCCTGATTCAATATCGTTGCAGGAAAACCGCGGCGTCTTATCAGTACACCCATCTCTCTTTCGACGAGAAGAGGGGATATCAGCACGTGTGTTATTATGATTCAGAGTACAAACGTTTTGTACCGTTTCTGGTAGCTGTCCACGTAGTAGACGGCCGGGTCGCGTTTCCTCAGGACGCCCGCTTTGCAGACGAGCACGGAGTCGCCCTCGCGGCGCAGTCCGGGGCCCAGGATCACGAACTCCTTCTCGCTTCTCCCTTCCTTTTTGAGCGGCGTGATGTTGTTCAAACTGTCGCCCGGCATCACCACGTCGCCCACGTCGACCTCCATCCTGAGAAGAAAGAAAAGTCTCCTTCTTCTTATCTTTCTTTATTTCATTCGCGCGACGTGTGTTCTCTCCGACTTCCTCGATGAAGCTTCGCCGCGTCTAACCTAACCTCCGTCCGCCTAACCTCAAAATCGACACGGAGCGCGACCACGTGCGGCCGGTCTCGAGCGACGCGAAGTTGTCGCTATCGCGTCGCCGTCAGGAAACGTCACGATTGAAGAGTTTATATTTTCAACCGAGTTTCGCGTTTGTCTTGTGTATTCTTGTCGAAAATAAAATTCTCACAGATTCTTCTCGGATCTGCACCTTCCAGTCAAACTGAGTCAAACTTTCGTTCTCTTTCTTTTTCCTGCCCACGTCTAGCTCGTTGCATCCGTTTCATTTCGAGTGCGGATAGTGCAGCGTGGTGTTAATATGCAAAAAGCGAGCTGACGTCAGTCTGTTTTGCTTGCACTCGATCGTCGTACTTCCCGCACTCGAGTACTGAATTAAAAAAAATTCCGATTCTTTTTAGCTGAACTTCTCGCGTACGGTTTATCTTTCCTCTTCTTCTGTTCACGTTGGAAAGAAAAAGAGAAAAGATAAAGAAGTTTGCAAAAGAAGTTCAGCTCTAAAAAGAACACGGGCCAAAAGAGCGCGAGAGATTCGAGTGCGGAAAGTGCAAGTAGAACGAATAGATTTCACGAAGGTGCAGCTACTTCTCGTTCGAATGGCATGACTACTCGAGGAAGGACCAGGTGTGTATATAAACATTGGCCTTCTCGTCGCCGAAATGGATACACGGAAGGATTCAAATGATATTACAGGACGAACGGGTGACACGAGTAGGCGTGCATTGCGACATAATCAAGAGACGGATAATCCCTGTTACAAGGTACCCGGACGATTGGCGATTATCGCCTTTTTGATCGCAACTCCTTTTCGCTAGCAACACAAATGTATATTTCTAATCTAAGGAAAGATGTAGCTAAAAGAAATCGGAAGAAGCTAGTGCGACGCTATTCTGTCTGTCAACATGTTTTTACTTCTAGGAGCACCTCCAGTCGCTAAGGTGCCTTGACTCCAATCAGAAAGACCGCAACGCATGCGAGCCATACTTCCTCAATTACAAGAACTGTAAAAATTTCTGGGTAAGTTTCTCTCCCAATCGCGACTACAAATCTGTATCTGTAAGATTATACCTCCCAATGGTGGTTGTTTCCCTTCATTGCAGGCTTCCGTGCAGACTGAAAGGAGGTCGAAAGGCATCAAGCCCTATATGCCACCTTTGGAGGAGCGCGTCAAGATAAAAGCCGAATACCTAAATTCTAGATAGCGACAGATGTGCAGACGCCTTGCTTTGTAAAAATATCTTTTATTCCGTGATATCTTTCGCGGTCGTCTCGCAATATTACACTGTAATATATATTACGTATGTATATAGTCCAACAAAGTTTACATATATAAGTTTGAAATTAAATATTAAACCCACATAGGAAAGAAACGCTTTCTTTCTCTAACATCTTCGCTTTTACCATCTAAGTTTCTTTCGTCTTGATAAGCATAGCTTAACGCAGTATATTTTATACATGCTTGGAAAACATATCACTTTGATGTACAGAGATGTATCTACAGAGACGAGATTGTTAAAGTAACAGAGGAAAGAGAAACTAGCTTACTCAATGTTGCCGCAACATTCCATTTGTAGCCAGAATTCTACATTGCAAGAGTTACGGAAATCATACAATTGTTCGTACACATATCTTAAAGCAAACGTACACTCGATACATAAACAATAACGTACACTCGATCCTTTCTTACCTGACGTACACATTATGCGCTAAATGCAATTTGAAGTACTACGACACATACGTTCTACAATCAAAAAAAAATATACATATAATTGCCAATAATTTGTACAGTTTTTCCAAACACTAAAAAGAAAGAGAAAAGAAACAAAGATAGATAAATAGATACAATTGTTATTAGTACATTGATTAATAACGTCCGAGGGACGATACATGTCGAAAACGAAGAGGTGCATATTTTTGGTTCACTGCTCAACGAGCTCGGCAGCATTCAAAGAAAAAGTATTTGTACACACATGTTATACATAATCTCAGCGGAATACCACGACGGAGAGGACGTTTTATGGATGAACCCGCTGCTCTTGGAGATAAAAGCGGTGACGCGGATAAGTATATCACAGTAAGATAGTCAAACACATTTCGGGCAATTTTGTTATTGCATGTAAGAAATAAATAGGCGATCCAGCAGACACTATTTTTTTTTTTTTTCAAGATATGTGGGATAAAGTAGCGCTATCAAATCTCTGCGAGCAGCATTACTATCGTATTTCGCGTCGAACGGCGGTGTTCTCGTAAAAGGACGTGATTCTAAGAATTCTTTATTTACTCGATAAGTGTTTTGTCATGGTAGTTAATTTCTCGTGATCAATTCTAATAAAAGTCCGTGTGTGTGTGTGTCAGATCTCTTCTCCCTGCCTGCTTTTCCGTGTTCAGTTTTTATCGATCTTTTTTTTATATACTTGTCTCTTCGTTCTTAACATGCATCGTCGGCAAGTAGTCATTCGGAATGATCTTTTATGGAGAACGTCTGAATACGGAAGTGCCGGCACATTTGACGTACCTGTAATTATAAAACAGATGACGCTGGGATGAGAAATTGCCTTATAAATTATAAAAACTTGACAATTACAATTAATTGTAGATATCTTTCTCAATACGTATAATTGGAGATATATTAATATCACATCATTGTGATCATGACCGTGATATTTCGTTGAACTTACCACACAAGTGCCGTAATGAATGTGCGCCAGCAAGGCCACTATGGAGACTAAATACATAAATTCCAAATCTACGCTTGGTAAGATAAACGAGAAAACAGCGGCTACTGCGATTGGCAATAGTATCCATGGTAATACCTCGCATCTCGTATTACTCATTTGGGATACGATTAATCGACACTGCAACATGAACATTATTAAAATGAATAATGCGATGAATAATAAAATTAAGACAGAATTACCAGGTTAAATAAATGTTTCTTACGCATATATTAGAAAAAATAGTGCCGATGGCAAAGTATATTATTCTCGGATCCTTTTCTAGAACATTGTTCGGAGAGTGCATTATCCAGACCGTGGAAATTATGAAGAATAAAACTAAAGGCACCAAGGGCCTAATAGCCTCTGGAAACGTCCGCATTTTGCCGGTCTTATCCCTATAAGATCTGCAAGACAATGCAAAATAATTATGTTAATGCGAAAAATTTTTTGATTAAATTTTGTCCTAAAGTATAAATAGGCTTTTTATAAAAAGAAGTGTAAAAGAGAAGCAGATAATTTAATATAAAGATCATTTAATCAATATGTATTAAAATTATTCTTAACAGAAATCTCGGAAGTGCTCCGATTTTATCCGTGAAATATTTTTGTCATCGATAAATTACAGAAATTGTATTACTTGCTATAACGATAAAGTGGTACTCACTTGTATATGTTCCAAAGAACAACCGGTAAATTGGACACAAGCGCACTAACGTAGAACAACATTTCGAACATAATTCCAGCTGATATACCACCAGGTAATTCAAATTTCCAGGCTTCATGTCCACCTATGCTGGTAAGTGTAAATACAATGACAGTTGCCTGTAAAAAAAAAAAATTAACAAAAGACTGATATAAATCGACACAATAATGAAAGTTAATTAATAACGTAAAGAAATATTTTTCTTCCACGTTAAAAATCGCATTATCCAAGCAAACTTACTAGCATGGAAGCATCGTATCCCCAGGGAAGAAACAGCACGCCCGTGTTATATTTTTCCCAATGACTCAGATAGAAATTAATGAATACGTTCCATAGTATGAAGTACATTCGCAACGGCGAGACGCTGTGATCCGTTCTGCCGAAGACCGAGTACATGCCTACCGTGATCAACATGGCACTCCAACTGTCTAAACCATGATCAAACAGCTCCCCTAAGGGGCCGGACGTTTGTGTGCGTCTCGCCTGCTTTCCATCTATCCCATCTGCAATACAAATAAAATCAAGTTTACTTTGTCAAAGTGAAGATCTTACTTTCTAATCAGTTGTAAGTCAAGAATTTATTTATTGTGTAAACATTTTTGTAAAATATCTGTAATAAAAGGGTTTATATCTCAAGAGATTTATGCATATATATCTCTCAATAAAATTACGTCTATCACTTTCTAATCCATTGCTTAATACAAATTTCTAGATTGTTTAATTTTATTCGAGTCTGTATGTCTGCTTCAAACATGAAAGACTTTTGTATATATTTACCAACTCCTATATGTTAATAAAAATTACTATATCAAGCACCAAGTACACGTACCAAGCGTATATGCCATAAAAATGTTAAAAGCAGCCACGGCAAAGACCCATCGTGATATCGGAGGGTAATCCGGCTTGTCGTCGCTGGACGCATAGAAGTAGTAGTCGTAAATCGCAAACAGCACGAAGTTTAGCACGGTAAAAAGGAATCCTGAGAAAGTTAGTACGTTCGGGGCAACCCACTTCGGGCAATACTAAAACAAGACGAATAATTATATTCATAATTAAAATACTGTGCGAAGAAAATGTTTCAATTCTACATAATACATAGCGGATAAAGATAATATTTATCAATTGTTCCACCGCTCTGAAACGAAGATCGTACCTGTACCAACTTGTTCCAAAAAGGATGCATGACGTACACGCTCAGGGGACTCGTGTCCAAGGAGCTATACTGAAATCAGAATATTCGAGGTAAGTGGCACAACACCGAGTGTATTGTCAGCTTCATTATTTGAATAAAATTTTGTTATTTTTATACTAGAAAAAAATCTAATACAAAATATTTCCATCGTGAATTATATATGCACGTTGTAATTTACTATATACCGTAGAATTTCACTCACGTTGTCACACGTGATACATTGATATATTTATAATGTCTTCAAATCGATATTTCCTACGTGTGAAAAGGGTACCAGCCAAAATCGGATCGGCTGAGCGTAAATACCTTGTAGCTCTCGAACCCCGTGAGGTGCTCCTCCGTCAGGTACTCCACCTCGAACTTCAGCTTACGATACATCTTGGAAAATCTCGGGAGGTCTTTTAAATCACCTTAAATCTCACACTCGTTCGCACTCAGGCAGTCGAGTCGTCAACCGCGCATTTACGCGGACTCGCCGGACGGGAGAGGCGCCGGGGCCTCGGGCGGCGGACGCGCCAATAACGCGCGACAGATCTCCGCGTGTGTGTTTTTCTTTCTTTTCGCGAGGATGCGAAAAAAATGTCCTTATTTGTACCGCGCGCAAAATCGTCCGTCACGTCGACTCATCGCGCACCACGACTCCGCGGCCCCAACACGCTGCTCGTATTCGCGGCGAAGAGACGACGACTCCGGTTGACTCCGGTGCCTCCCCACACCGCCGATTTCCGCTTCGAGACGACGCTGAACGACGCAGGTCCCGCGCGCGCGACCGACCGTCAGTGATCAGTCGTCACCTCACGACACAATCCCAACCCGATTGAACCCGATCCCCCAACCAAGGCAACGACGCGACGGATTTGCGCGTGTATTACGTATGCACGCGCATCGGACGATCCCGGCTCGTCGGCTCGCCGCCCATTGTCGCCCCGCAATCGTCACACCACCGCACGCACGCAGCACGCACGCCAATGAATGCGCGGCACCGCGACGGTACAATTACGTTTTCGCGTAGGGGCGAGGATTGTGGAATAATAACGCGCGCGCGGCGGCGCCGGCTGATCGCTCATCGCGTGAATCGCGTCCCGCCCTCCCCCCGACCCCCGCCCCCCCCCCCCCCCCCCCCCCCAATTCGTTCCGACGACCATGCGCATGCTGTTTGATCGACCGGAACTATAAAAGAGTCGAGGGAAAATTAAAACGCGGCGACGGTTGATAATACAGAAATATTCAAGATTGTTGCACAAGGTTGGGCGTTTACGCGTAAAATATATAATGTGATGTAATAATAATATAATATAATACGATATAATGTAATGTAATATAATATGGGTAAATCTGAAGGAGAGCTCCCTCCTCACCGATTTCGCTGAATTTAGGCTTAATCAACGCGTTTTTGCACAAAACGAACGAATCTGGCAGAAAAAAGCCCCGCTCTGCCCCGCGAAGCGAGATATTAACTGTTAAAGTTGACGACTATCAGGTTATGAGACCTGTCATACCGACGCGATGTAGCGACTACGGACATGCTCCGCGACCACATGCGCGCATGTCCCGTGGTCACGTGATGTACTTGAGCGCTCAACCTCAATGACATATTATATATGACATATCGAGACGAGCGTGGCCTAGTAGACAGCGCACTGGTCTACTG